GGCCTTGACCTTTAGGAGGACTTTTGGCTTCAGCCTGGAGCCACGGAATTTTCTGGAAGGGCCTTAAGGCCGGGCCCTTACTGGGTCCACAGTAAGCAGGCTATTTTGAGAGGCTTTCTGGCAGCTAAGCAGAGGGTAGGGGAGGAACCCAGGGGACACTCGGAGATGCTGGAAGGCAGTGTTGCCATCCAGACGAGGGCCGTCAGTGGATTGGGCACGCAGATGTGTGGCCCGGGCAGGCGTCAGGGTGGATTAGAGATGAGGGATGAGGAAGAGGGTGGAGTCAGGTGTGATTCAGATAATGAGACCGAGGCACAGAGAGGTTTGGTAATGGGCCCACAGTCTCACAGCCAGGGAGTGAAGCCTCAGGCCCAGCATTTGTACTAGGCAACGGCCTGGCCTGCTGCCTTGGCGGCAGCCCCGTGAGCAGCCCCGCAAGCAGCCCCCCACAGAGACGCCCATGGAGCAGAGGGGAGGGCAGTGGAGCGGCATCCTCACGCTTCGTTCACGGCCTCTGCTCTGTGCCAGGCGTGATGGAGATCGATCAGGGCATCTGCCAGGGAATGAGGTTCCACTCTGGGTTGCCTGCAGCCCATTAGGCAGGGATTGGCGTATAGAGGAACCAGTCAGGGAAGGATGGGGCCGGGGCAAGGTGGTGGCCGAGTGGCCCGCCTCCAGCTGACCTGAGTGACGGTGAGGAACTGGGGACCCCCGGTGAGATGGGGAGACGGCCGTGACCTCACTGGCCTTGGTTTTCCCATCTGTAAAGCGGAGGGGGTTCTAAGAAGGATGAGGCAGTACAGGACTTCACCCAAGCCCTGGGGCGTGGTATGTGCTCCGGAGATGCTGGGCGCTATTATGGTTATTGTTGTTGTCATTATTGTTTTGTGGTAGCTGGAGTCCACCCTTGCTGGCCCTGAGGGCCAGTTAGCCTCTCTGATTTGGGACGTGTGGTCTGCCAAGCCAGCTTAGCTCAGGGATGGATGATGCCGGCTACAAAGCCCAGGCCCAGGACCAGGTATGAGAGAGGCTGCTGGTGGGGGAGGATAAGGAAAACTACAGAGAGGACTGGTTCCTGTTTTGTGAAGAACAGAGGGTCATGTGAGTCCAAGAAAGACGCATAGGTGCAGGGAGGGGTCGAAGGAGTCTGCAGAGGATGGGACGGGCCGACTTTGACAAACCCAGGCGGTGCTTAGAGACTGTCCTTTGCCTGATTTTATGCAGGAGGCCCAGAGAGGGTGAGGGCCTGGCTCAAGGTCACACAGCAGCTGGTGCAGACCTACCAGCTTGGGGGCCTGGGCGTTGCCCCACTCTGTGAAGGAAGGATGTGATCATTTATCAGGGGAGTTTAATAATGAATGAAGTTGAAGTATCTTAAATGGAGGTAGCAGGCCCGAAGTAATAAGGGACCTGTATTAATCTGGAAGTTTATGAATATGCAGGTGTGTCTGAATGATTAATGGGGCTCCCGAAGGCCTTGGAGAGGGGTGTGTGAGCTGCTGCTGATGGAAATATGAATATTGCATACATCTGGGAAGTTGGTTAAACCAGGGAGCAGGTGGGCATTAATGAACCAGAGGACTCTAGCGGCTACAAAGGGCTGAATATGTGGCTACAAAGGGCTGAATATATGGATACTTGGGGGCAGATATACAGGGTCATGGCTAAGTGCTCTCATTTCTTGCTGTGTGGTCTTGAGCAAGTCACTTAACTTCTCTGAGCTTCCATGTCCTCATCTGCAGAATGGGCATAAAAATAGTACCTGATTCCTAGTATCCTGAGGATGAAATTCATGACAGCTCCTGAGCACCAGAGGCAGGCGTAGTGCGGGCATCTGATAAAAACTTGCCTTGTTAGAAAGGATGGCAGAGGAGTGGTTGAGGAAGGACAAGGAAAGTATAACAGTAATAATTAAACTCCCTTGAATATGGCTAGCACTTTACAGTTTGTACGGGGGTTGGTCTCTCATCTGCTCCTTGAAGCAGCTGCGTGGGGCAGAGGAGATGGGTCTTGGGGAAGCTGAGGCTCAGAGAGGGCTGGTCCCTGCTCAAGTCGCCCAGTTGGCAGAGGCAGAGTCAGGCCTGGGCCCAGCTCTACACCCCTTGCCAGTGAATTTCGGAGGGGATGGAGGTGGAACTGCCGGCTGGCAGGAGGGTCCCGCCGATGCACTGACGAGGAAGGGCCTTCAGGGTATTTGTTGGGCCCGGGGTTGGGAGATCCCACATGCCCTCTCAGAGCCTCAGTTTCTCTGTAGTGTGAGGATCTGTCTGCCACTCAGAGCTGTTTTAAGGCTTTGGGGATAAAATGGGACACTGCACCCTCACCTGTGCTCAGCCTTTGGGGAGTCCAGACTCTGCAAACATTATCGCTCTGATGCTCGCAGCAGCTGTACCGGGAGTTTGTGTGCACCAGCCCTTGTGTCTGGTGTCTTGTGTGCGGGGAGCTGTGGGTCCTCGGCCACTCTTGTAGCTTTGGGTCCTTGGGCACATCTCCTAGCCTCTCTCAGCCTCACTCTCCCCATCCTTCAAGTGGGCAAGTGGTATATAAAGTGTGCGGGCTCCCTCCAGCTGCCCCGCCTCCCCCTGCGCCCATGTCATGGCCTTGTGTATGGGCGTCCTTTCTTTGAATCTCTGTGGCGTTTTATTCATTCTTTCATCCTTTTGTGAACATTTATGTAGCGCTTCCTGGGTGCTGTGTTGGTCTCTGGGTTTACAGGGTGAGTGAGATCGCCTTCCCCATCCCTGTCCTTGACAAGGTCCTGGTCCAGGCACAAGGCGAGTGTGAAGCGAGTGTCTGGTGAGGCAAGCTCGGATGGGGCATGCGAGCCAGAGGACGGCCTCTGGACCCAGACATGGATTGCGGGGAGAGGTGCTTGTTTATCTTGCTGTCTTCCCCGCTGGAGCTTCTACCTGAGGCTGTGTCTTTTGGCTGTGAGTCCTCTGCTCCCAGCAGGAGATGGTCAAAGAATGGCTGTTGGAATGAATGAGGGAGTGAATGAGGGAATGGCTGGTATCTAGGCCCCTTTCCCTGCCTCTCCTGGGCTCCAGGCCAGGGAGCAGAGGCCCAGCCAAGCCCTCCCTTGGTTGTCCCAGGTGGATGAGGGCAGCCTCTCTTACATCCTTTTTTGTTCCTTCCTGGGTCTCTAGCCTGGGCTGCAAGGCCCCCCTGCTGGCCTGGCTGGGTCACAGAACTGAAGGTTGTTGGGTAAAGAACCTGAGCCATCATGGTCGTGGTGTAGCCTGCTGTTGACAGACGGGGAAACCAGGGAGGGGCCTGTGGGGCAGGGCTGGGGTTAGAGCCCCCACTGGGCTGCTCCTCGGGCTTGGCCCTGCAGTGCCCAGCCTGGCTGTGTATTTATAGTCTCTGCTGATCTATATTAACACCAGGGCCTGCCCAGGCCTTTGCAGCCTCTGGATCTGAGGATGGCTTTGCACCAGCACAGCCCCGGGGCTCACGCTGGGCCTGGAGTTTTTTCGCCAGCCTGGGCCTGGGCTCTGGCCACCCTTTGGTGGGTTCTGTGTCTTTGGGGTTTGTTATTCCTCGCTTCCCTCCTCTGCAGGGAGACTGTGAGTACAGCATGGGCTCAAGCACTTGGGCTATGTGACCTCGGGGAAGCCGCCCTGCTCTCCGAGCCTCAGTCTCCTCATCTGTAGAATGGGCTATAATTCCCACCCAGCTTGGTGTCTCAGGCACTGAGCCCTCAATGCTTGTGAGCTGGAGTCACTGTTTACCCTCCTCACGTCTCTTCTGGTCCTCATCACAAGCAGTCCTCAGAGCTCCTAGGGACTGGAGTGTCATCTCCATCGGACAGATGAGGCCACCGAGGCCCTAGGGGCGGTGTGACCTGCCAGGGCCACACTGCCTGTTGGGGCAGGATTTCGGACTCATCTAAGTCCGAATGTTCCAGCTTCCCAGACCCCTTACCCTTTCCAGAGCCCCTCAGGGTCCTTGGGGCAGGCCGCCTCCTCGCCCCAGCAGCTTGGTTCGCACCCCTGTCGCCACGGGGGCGGCTCCACTAACTCTGTGCTTCTCTTACAGAGCAGAGACGACTGGCCGCCCTGAGCGCAATTCAGTTCAACAGACATTTACCGAGTGCCTACTATGCGCCAGGCCTTAGGCTAGGCACTGGGGTGGGGGCACAGAGAGGAAGATGGAGTCCCATCCTCAGGTAGCTCCAGGCTGGGGGGCGTGGAGAAGACAGGCAAGGGCTACACCATGACAGCTCAGCTCCGGGAGAGAAGCTGCCTGTAGGGCTGGAAGCAGCAGAGGTACCTGGGTTCAAGTACATCCCTGGAGAGCTGCTGTCCCTCGCCTGTGCCTCAGTTTCCCCATCTGTAAAATGGGGGGGAAGGGAGGTGGGGTGAGACAATCTCTGGGATCCTTCCAGGAGTCCATGGGGATGGAATCAGGGCACGGGGGCAGAGTAGAGAGGCCCACACTCTCCCTGTGGAAAGGAAATCTCTGAAGGCTTCTTGGAGGAGGAGGCATGAGGTCTGGGCTGCAGGGGGTGGGGAAGGTGGAAATGGTACCCCAGGCTCAGGAAGAGCATGAGCAAAGGCCCAGGGGACATGCAGATGGGTGTGTCTGCAACTCCATAGGTTGTGAAGGGGTGTCCTGGGGTATGAGTTTAGAGAGGGAGGGAGGGGCCCAAGGGCTGCATGTCGGGGTGTGAGCTCTATTCTGTGAGCTGTTGAGGATGGAGAGTGAGGAACAGTGGTCCTGCTTTGTGCCACCCCCTTCACCTCCCCTCTCTCCTGGGTACACTTGACCATCACGTTCCCGTAGAACATGTGGCCATGGTGGTGCCTGTACCTTCCTAGACATGTTACACATCAGTCCCCATGGCAACCCCGTAAAGTGGGCATTACTGGGCCCAGTTCACAGATGAGGACACCGAGGCTGAGAGGGAAGCTTTTGCCTGTTATGATCTGACTCCCAGCTCCCCCATGCTTCTTCCACTAGCTGTCACTGTTGGCGGGGGGGGGGGGGGGGGGGGCGGGTCTCTGTCCTGTGTTACACCTGCCATGCTAGGAACCCCCAAGCTCTGAGGAGTACCTGCCAAGGGGAACACAGTTGGGTTTGGAGGTGAGGGTGGGCAAACCCTCAGATGTTGTTAGCAGGACCGGCTTTTTCCAAGGCCTGAGCTTCTGCCCCTGCGGCCACCCTCTGAGATGGGGGGTGAGGCAGGGCTCCTTCCCACTTTACAGATGAGCAGACTGAGGCCCTGGGGGTCCAAGGTCGAGGCAGTGACAGCCTGGGCAGGGAGCACCGTTTTCTTATCATCCAGCTGAGGCTGGAGGGAGGTTCAAATCCTCCGAGATCTGTGCCGAAGCTGACCCACACAGCCCTCACCAGGCAGTGGAAAAGACTGGCATGGAATCACAGACCTGGGTTCAAATCCTGCGTTTGTCTCGCACAAACAGTGTGATCTTTGTGAGCAAGTCATTAATTACTCTGAGCCTCTGTTTCCTTGTCTGTAAAGGGAGAGAGCAGGCCTCTTTCATTCAGTCATTAACATGTTTATTCAGCACCTGCTGGGTGCCTGGTGCTGGGCTTTAATGGGGACTCAGACCCTTCCTTGGAGAACTCAGTTCAGGAGCAAAAGCAGCAGTTTTGGTTCGGTTGTGATGGAAGAAGCCCAGGTGGCTGTGGGAACCCACAGGAGGGACCCCAAGCAGACCATCTTAATTGGCGGGGGCAGGCAGGAGGGCAGGAGAGGAAAGCAGGAACCAGCTCCGCAGGACCCCAGGGGCTGGGCTTCAGATGTCTGTTGGAAATTTCCCAGATCAGTAGGGAGCCAGGGAAGGCTTTTGAGCGCGGGAATGTTGGAGGCTGGGAGACCAGTGAGGATTCTGATTGAGAAACTCATTTGGGGTGAGGAAGGAGGCTGAAGCAGGGCAGGAGCAGTGGGAGGGTACAAAGGCCTTCCAGATGTGGGCAGCTGGGGCCGCTTCGAGCTGGCTCAGGGACCGGGCAGAGGAGCGGGGCTGGGGAGCATGTGGGCAGTGGGAGGCGAGTCCAGTTGTGGGGTTCAGGTGCCAGGGAGAGGTCCAGAGGCAGCTGGCGGTCAGTACCAAGCTGATAACAGAGACCCTGAGAGGGATGGAGATGCTGGGGGGTGGGAGTGGGGAAGCAGGTTTGGGCAGAGCCGAGGACCGGAACCAGGACCTCAGAGAAGGTCACTGCAAAGTAGCCCAAGGGGGAGCGGCCTGGCAGGTAGGAGGAATCCCGAGGTATAGGGACTTAGGTCTGCCGGGAGATGACAGAAGTCACCTGTGTCGGGCACTTTGCCCAGTGCCAGGCTCACAGAGGGGCCCAGGAGGGTCAGTTCCCACCTGGCTTTCGCTGGAAAGCAGAACCATAGTCTGTCCCCTGCCATCCCGAGGAGGAGGCTCTGAGGAGGAGGGTGTTTGGGAAGGAGGGAAAGGGGAAAAAACATTTGCGTGTGGAACAAGGCTGAAGCGAGAGAGAGAGAAAGAGGGAGCAGGGGATGAAAAGAAATTACCATCCGCCGGGATCTTGTCATTCAACCCAATTTTCAAAGGACCACAGCTGTCGCACTGAGATAATCTGTTAATTATAACAGCCATTGTGCTTTGGCAATGGGAGAGAAACCGAGGCTGAGGAACAGGCCGAAGGCAGGGGTGGGAGCCTTTGGGGGGCAGGAACAGGCAGGAAGGCAGACACTGTCAGGGGCCAGGCCTCATCCCTTCCTTGCCACCACTGTTGTAGCAGTGGGTGATGGGGACCCGCTGTGTGCCGGGCACTGTGCCACGCCTGTGAGCCGGGCCGCCATAACCATTCTAGAGGCAGCTAACTTTATTGAGCACTTACTATGTGCCATACCCTGCTCTGAAGCTTTCATTCTCCCACCCTCTGAGGTAGTGCCCTTCTAGTCCCATTTTACAGAAGCGGAGACTGAGACTCAGAGGAAAGAAATTGCCTGCCAGGGCCATGCTCTTCGTTCAGTGGCAGAGCCAGGATTTGAGTTGAATGTGGCCTGTCCTTCTGGGAGAACGCTAGGGAGGGCCGGTCCCCATGGGTTGGCCATGCGGGCTTGGTGGCCACATGTCCTGGGCTGTGGTCTCAGCGCAGCCGGCAGTCCATGGGGTAGCCCCCCCCCACCCCGGGCATTTCCGGGGCTCCTTCTGCATGAACAGGGCTTCCTTGTTCTCTGATGCCACAGCTGCAGGCCCCTGCAAGCTCCCCCCCCACCGCCATCCGCACCAGAGAAGCTAGCCTCAGGGCCAGAAGAGGGACCCCATACGACCGCCTGGTTTGGGGTTGTGATGGGCTGCGGCCCTGGGAGGGGTCTCAGCCTGGCCCTGGCTGGCTGGCTATGGGGCCCCGGGTGCTGGGGCCTGGGAGAGGCAGTGGGGAGGGTGGGCAGGAGTCCCAGGTGAGCAGAGTGAGGGGATCCTGAGGTCTGTGGGGAGGGGCAAGAGCAAGGGGCCATTCCAGAAGGCCAGGGAGCCCTTTGCCGCAGGCCCTCCTCCGGGGTGTGGCTTCAGCAGCCAAGGCCTTAGGCCTCCTGGTGTTTCACAGCGGCCTTGGCTGGAACCTCAGCGCAGCCTGGCTGGCAGCGTTTTACGGAGTGGGAATCCTGTTTGGGAGCAAGTAACCCTCAAACCCCAACAGGAGCCCCAAACTTGACCCGGCAACCCAAGCAGCATGGTTGGAGAGCCAGGGACCCCACAGGTTGACAGGCAGGTCTCGGAGGCTGTATGGGTGCTCTCCTGGTTTGGGGTCCCCACTCCAGTGGGCCTGCTTGGAGGCAAGCAGGGGTTGTGGATGGGCCAGGGCAGCTAAAAGTCCTGTAGAACTGGTGTCACAGAGGCCAAGACTCAGTAGACTTTTAGGATCAAGGGATTGTAGATACACTGTAGAACTCCTGCATCCCAAATTCGTAATTAGAGACCTCCCCCCGCCAAAAGAAAACGACCCGTGCCATTAGAGTGTCCCAGAGCCGCAGAACCAGGGAGGCAGGTACTGTAGCAGCCTCGGGTCCCAACCGGGGGTCTCATGGGATTCCCCCCACAGGTCCGGATTCTAATTGTCGCCACTCTGGGCTTCCCTCTGCTGCCCAGGGGTCAGTGGGAGCCTCAGCCAGAGAGGCGGGGAGGAGGATGGGTCCACCTAGGCCTGTGCCACCTGCTCTGTCTCTGCAGGGATGCAGAACCTGGGCAGCCAGTTCTTCCAGGTTTTTCAGTGGATTCCAGAAATGAGGATTTTAAAAATAAAATCTCCAGAGTTATCGTCATTGACAACTAATTAAAAATTTTTTTTAAAAACCATTGTCCAGATGAAACAGGATCCCACAGCATCTCTTGACCCAGAGCCTGGTGCCATGGAGGGTCAAAACCACTATGTAGTAGTTGTGAAACCTCAGTTTCCTCCTCTGTAAAGTGGGAACAGCAGCATCGACTCATGAGGTTGTGCAGAGGACTCAGTGAGTTAACATGAGAAGTGCTTAGGCCTAGCCCGTGTCAGCCCATGACTCTGTTTTCATCTCGCCCCACGCTGCCCATCCCTCCCCTGCCAGGCTGCCTCCGTGTGGGCTGCGCGCTTTGCCACCGGGAGCCCCCACGTCTCCCCGTGGGCTCCAGACACACCACTCTGCCTTGGGACAGCCCTGAGGGTGTTGGAAGGCAGGGAAATGTTCACCCCTTGGGGCCCTGGAGAGGGAGCAGAGCTGGGAGGGAGGGCCTAGCCGGCGCCTGGTACATAGTAGGTGCTCCATAAATGTTTATTGAATGAATGAATGGAGGCCATGCAGGCAGAGGCAGCCGCGCGTGCGCAGGCACTGGTGAAAGAGCGGGTCCAGTGGAGACTGGTGAGTAGTGCCCGGGGCTGCAGCTGAGTGGGGCCTGGGGTTTGCCGAAGCCAAGGCCAAGGGACCAGCAGGGGTCAGGTGGGGGAGGCAGAGCCAGGTGGGGGAGGGCAGGGGTCGTGTGGGGGGAGAGGGGCAAGGTGGGGATGCAGGGGTCACGTGGGAGAAGTCAGGGGTCAGATGGAGGAGGCAGTCCCTTGAATAGCCTGGAGGATTCTGGGAAAGCCAAAGATAGCTCCTGGGGTGGGACTAGGAGATGGACTTTTAATACAGATCATTCTTGGCCATGAGCAGGAGGGTCCCGTGCTCTACACGGCGCCGGCGGTGGGTGGGGTGGATGCTGGGCTGCTTAGGGCTGGGGAGTGGGTACCAGGGAGTGGGCCGTGTGAGGGGGCCGTCTGTGAAGAGCTGCCCCCAGAGCCAGTGTTGGGGCTTCTCCTGCCAGACTGCTGGGTGGTTTCCCAGGGCCAAGACCTTCTGCTAAAAACCCTTCCGTCCTCCTCCCTACCTCCTTCCTCTGAGGCCTGGACACAGCGCAGGTGCTAATGACAGATCCAACGCCCCTGGGAGCAGGGGAGGCCCAGGCATCAGTTGAGTTCCTGGGAGATGACCCAGTGAGCAGTTACAGAGGGCTTGGGGCCGGCCCCAGCAAACCAGAGAGACACAGGTGCTCAGCTGTTCTCCCCCTGAATAGATGAGGAAACTGAGGCCCAGAGGGGGCGAGGTGCTGACCTGCCCAGGGTCACACAGTGAGCCCACCCTCTGTGTGTCATAACAGCTCGCGGTACAGCAGACTAGCCCAGCCCCCTTCCCTGGCCAAGGTTACTTGGCTTGGAGACAGATGCCCAGTACGACGGGGCCTTGCCAACCCAATTAACCCCCAATAACTGTCAGCTGTTGCTGCTGTCCATGTGGCTGTGTTCTTAGTAAGCTCTTTTGGGTAAGTCAGAAACTCGGTGAAGACAGGGTGCATCTGTCTGCAATACTGCACATCATAGGCGCACAGTAGGTGTGCAGTAAATACCTGCAGATGTGTAAGGAGCGCAGGTGAGCGTGTGGCTGGTTGGACAGCGTGCTCGACCTGCCCCAGTGGTGAGCTGCAGGCCCGTGACACGGATGCAGCCATGGCCTGCTCACCCAGCGCAGGATGGCACACAGCTGGGAGCGGGTGCCATAGTATCAAGGGGCAGGAGCCAGCTCCCCTGAGATGTGGAGCAGCTGGCACGGAGGGCTGAGACTAACAAGACATGATGGAATGGGAGTGGATGGAAACCTAGCACCTCGGGTGAAACCCAAAGAGATACGTTCTGAGGGCATCGGGGCTGCCTGGCAGGATGTGAAGGGGCCCGGGGCTTTGGTTGACATCTAGGTCAAGGTGAGGACACACAGCTCTGCATATCCACGCTGCTCTAATGGAAGCGTGGCACCCGAACAAGGGAAGCAGGGTCTCCGGTGCCGGTCACTGCTCGGACCATGTTGGCGCTGAGGCTCAGCTCCAGGTGACACCTTTTAGGAGGGATCTTAACAGCAGGCATGACCTGGGGCAGCTGGACCCAGGGGTGTGGGACTTGACACCGTGGCTTTGGAGGAGCAATAGAGGACGTGAGGCTGTTCATCCTGGATACGCGGATTGCAGGGGCATGAGATAACGGATGAACAAATATCAGAAGGACCTTTGCGGAGAACTCTTGGCTGCAGTGGCTCCAGACAGGCCGTGTCTGGCCAGTGGCAGGTTGGGACCAGTGAATGAACACAGGTACAGGAGCTAGGTTTGGCTTTGTAATATAAAGAAGTCTCTAATAATCAGAGCTGTTCAGGAAGGGAATAAGCCTCAGATGGGTGCTGAGATCCCTGTCACTGGAGGTATGCAAGTTGGGGGAAGTCACATCTGCAGGGATCCTGGAAAGTCTGGTAGTTCTAAGAGCTCAGGCCAGTTCAAGTTCCTGGCTGTGTGGTCTTGGGCAGATCACAGCCCCTCTCTGAGCCTCAGTTTCCTCATCTGAAAAATGGGAAGTGTGGGTCATGGGGCTAAAAAGAAGGCTCAGCACATTTCTTGCACACCGTGAGCACCTCATCAGTGGTGGGGGCCCTCCCTCTGATAGTTATATAAAGTCCTGATTCAGTGGAGTCACAGACCCCAGGATCTCCCTCTGTGCCCCATCCCCATCCCTAGCCCTGAGCTCTCATTCCACATATCATGTTCTGGGCACCTGCTAAATGTCTGACCCTGTTCCAGGTATGGAGGTTGCAGTTTAGCACGAGATAAAGCCTACTTTGACTTTATTATGGGGGCAGGGAGGGGCTTATAAGGAACTACGTGATGTCTAGTATTGTTGAGGGATCAGAAGGGACCAAAGCCAGGGTTGAGTGACCAGTGAGTCATCTCAGATTTGGCGTCAGGGAAGGTGGGGTTGTGGGGAGCAGTTGAACAGAGATCTGAATGAAGTGAGGTAGTGGGCTGTGCAGATACTGGGGGAAGAGCATTCCACGAGGAGACAATAGCACGTGCAAAGGCCCTGAGGTAGGAGTGTGCCTGGGGATATTTGAGGAACACAGCTGACCTGGACTGAGTACTTCCTGACTGATGGTAGAATTGAATTCTCTCTCGGTTTGTGGATGGTCCACTCTTGTACACTTTCCTGATAGGGAGGGAGGTGCCTACCCAAGGGGCAGGAAACTCACAAGATGGCCTGTGCATGTCCAGTCCCTGCAACGGACCCAGCTCTTTGGAGGAAGCTGGGGAAGGAGGGGGCCTCAGTTTTCTCATCTGTAAAATGAAGCCAACAGCACTCACCATGCAGGGCTGATATAAGATTCAAGGAATGTAAAATGTCAGACACAAATGAGCCATTGAGTAAAGGGTAGCTGCGACTATCTTATGGACAAGGAGACTGAAGTCCCGAGAGGTTAATTAATGTGCTCTATGTCACACAGCTCAGCATTCAATACCAGGACCCTTTGTCTCCAACATCCATGCTTTTTTCTCTCTGTCCTGCAGCTGGGGCTCTTTGCACCTGAAATCCAAATGGTTCACTTACCATACAGTAGTTCAGTGGCGAAGGTATAATTATCCCATTTTACAGATGAGGAACCGAGGCCCAGAGCAGTCTGCCCGAGGAGCCCTGGTGAGGTGGAGGCAGCTACAAGACCCGGCATCCAGTTCCCAGGGGGTGGCAGGCTTTGTCCCGGAGGGTGGAGCGGTGGCAGCCCATCTCTGGAACCCCTGGCCTGGTGCTGTGCTTCCAGCAGAGGTGAGGTGGCTGCCCGCCTGTCGAGTTCTGGCTGGACCCCAGGAGTCCTCGGTCCTCGTAATCCTGGGTAATGGCATTGACACGGACAGGGTCAACGGCACCTTAGAGAGCCTTGGCCAGCCTGGCCCAGGGAGGAGCCCATGCCAGGGCAGATCAGCTGCTATGAAGGAGATTTCCCTGGCTAAGCCTCATGCCCCGCTCCTGGGAGGTCGGAACATGGGCCTCACCTCCCCCATCCACTCCCTGGACCCTGCGAGCATCCTGCGGGAGTATGACCTTATGAGCGGGAGCCGTGCATTTGCCGGGCCTCCTGCCCTATACAGAGTGTGTTTGTCTCCACTATGTTCTGGGATTTCGTGGGAGCCCCGGGCGATGGGAGGCACTCACCTTGCCACACAGGTGGAGAAACTGAGGTTTGGAGGGGGCCTGCAACTCACCCAAGGTCTCAGAGCCGGCCGGCCCCGCATCTTCCCTGCTGACCTCTGCCTCCCCACTCCCCGCCCCATCTGCCCTCAGCCGGGGGACACACAGGCAGACCTCACCCTGTCCATCCTCTCTCCCAGCCCAGGCCGGGGGAGCAGCCCCATGACCCCCTGGCCCTCACAGCCCCACAGCCTGGGGCGGAGAGGTCAAGGCTTCCCTCTGACTGGGGAGCTTGGGGGTCAGCCTGCAGTGGAGGGGTCTGTGGCCCAGGGGGTTAGGGAGCCTGAGTCCCGGGGAGCCCTACTCTTAGGTGATGAGGGTTGTGAGGAAATAATGAGAAAAACCTCATGAACAGCGGTAGCTGACGTTTTCTGATGCTGCCTGCTACGTGCCCGGCCTTGCGTTCGCACCCGCCACGTCAGCTCACTGCAGCCTTGCGGGTAGGGAGCATTTGGCCCACTTCCTCGGCAAACAAGGAGGCTTGTGCCCAGTGTCCTGGGGTAGCTGAGTGGGCCGTGTCCAGAGGGGACTCGAGCTTGGCAGATCAGGATCTGTCGCTGCCACCCTGGCCCCTGAGCTGACCTCCCACCAGCTGGTCGTGTCCCTTCCCCAGTGCTGGCCTCGGTTGCCCCTCTGACAGTGGCTGGGATTGGGCTAGAGCCAGGGCTCCTCGTCCCTGCTGCTCTGAGGCTCTGGGATTCTGAGTCCACAGAGGGGCCCTGAACCTCGTGGCCCCTGGAGGAGGGTGCAGAATCCAACGGGATCGACCGGTGATGTCAGGGGGCGGGTATGAAACCCAGAGAGGGAAGGCCTTTGCCCAGAGTGACTCAGACTTTCCGTGGCTGTACCGAGCTCTGAACAGAGACCTCCCGTCAGCTCTGCCCCTCAGACCCGTATGGTCTTGCCCACTCTTCTCCCTCCTTTCTGTCCAAGGGTGTCCCCATGAGAGTGGACATCATGCAGTGTGTAGCCTGCTAGACGGGGATCCCTCCACCCCAAGATCCCTCGACGGCACGCTGCCCCCCAACTTCACCACATTCCTCCTCTCTGTGGTGGCAGGAGAGAGGGACCCTTGGAAAGGTGCTGGTTGGGCACTTTGGGCCTGCCCCTGCTCTGGCCAGAGTTCACTCATTACCTGACACCTGGGGGAGTGGGAGCGTTGGGGGAGGGGTCCGTTGAGGCCAGGTCCCCTGGGAGCACTGCTCTTTGCCCCCTCATGCCCTGGTGCCCTGGCCACTGGCCCACAGCCTGCTTCCGGGGTGGCCACACCCTCCCAGGTTTAGCACCGTTTGGGTCCTAGGCAGAAAAGGCCTCTGCTTCCAACACCTGCTTCCTGCCGCTCCCCACCCCCTTCCTGGGCTGGTCACAGGCTGCACTTCGGTGGCTCAGCCAGACCCAGCGCTCATCTGACCCCTGGATGGGGGGGGGGAGCGACAGGCACTGTGTCCCCTCCCTCGCACCCCCCGTATTTGTCATCTCGCTGTGCTTTGCTCTGCTTTTCTGCCGATCGATTCCTTTGTCTCCGACGCGCCCTCTCCGTTTATCTCTGTTCCTCTGCCTCTCCCTGCTCAGCTGTCTCCAGATTTTGGCTTTTCCCTCCTCCTCAGCCCTCGCCTCCTGTCTGCAGCTCCCTCACCTCCTTTCTCTCTCTCACCAGCCCCCAGGTGTGCTGGGGTGGGTAGGGCCCTGTTCTTGCCACTGGTGTCTGGGCTGGGGCATCACTCCCGTGGGAGCAGGGAAAGGCCTGACCCACAGGACCCTCAGTCCCAGGTCTGATAGCTCGGAGGCCGGCTTGCCCCTCCCCACACCTGGAGTGGATGTGCAGCCGGGCCGGGGGCCAAGTGCTGCTGTCAGCGCCTTTGCGGCCTTGCTGTCCCCCGTCCCTGGATGCGTCAGGCCTCGACAGGTGGTGGGCAGGCAGCCCAGGGACAGGGACAGGCGGCTGACGCACACGGGACGGGGAGAGGGGGAGCCTCCTCCCCACTCTGAGTCATGGAGGGGAGTGGGGGGAGCCGGAGAGAGGGCGGGGTCACCTTGAGGGCCCAGTTGGGCAGCGCTCAGAGGGGCTGGGTTAGGGGCGTGGGGGCCACTGTATCCCCTGAACTGTTTGGGAAGGGAAGAGGCAGGACTGGACTAGTGCAGCCTCTCCAAGTCTGGGCGCCTTCTCCTACTCCCCTCCCTTCCCCTTCGCCTCTTCTTACACCCTCAGCATGGGCTGGGATTTCCAAGAGTCTGGCCAGCTCAGCTTAGCCTGACAGCTGCTGGGTCTGGCCGAGCGGGTGATGGTTTGAGCAACTCAGATCTGAGGATGAGGGGGCTCGATGCGGCTAAAGTTCCTCATGTGCGTATACGTACATACGCACTCATGTGGGCCACACATGTGCTTAACATGTCGACATACAGGCAGGTGCGGGCCTGTGTTCCCCAGACACGCTCCACATGCATCCCTTCCCACCCCTCCACACACAGGCACGCCCTCGTTCACTCCTACGTTCACTCCTGTAGCTGGCCAGGCAGGCACACATCCTGTGCACACGGGCATATGTGTGCACAGCCGCCGGCCTGCACACCCGTCTACTTGTACACGTCAGCACGCCCCTGCTCCAGTGCTCTGAGCCAGCGCACACCTGCGCGTCACCTGCAAACAAATGTGGTCCCCAGACATTCCCAGCCAGAGGAGGTGCAGACAGAGGGTTCTCTGATAGGGCAAACTTGGCAACTCAGCCTCTTCCATTACAGCCTCGCTGCCTGAGGGGGAGGGGAACTGAAGCCACCGGAGGGGTAGGTCTGGCCTGAGGCCCCCTAGGAGCCAGCGGCCATATCGGATGGGAGCCCTGGTCTCCCGACTCCAGCCCTGAGAATTTTCGTGGCACAGCCAAGGACAGAAACGCTCTCTGCTGCCTGTCCTTGCCCCCTTCTTGGCCGACAGCCTCGTGGTTGCCCCCTCCCCTGCCCCCGTCCGGCCTCTCAGCCTAAGCTGGTCCTGCAGGGGACGGGGAGGTGTGAGGCGGGCTCCCCCGGAGGTCCTGATCATCACAGCCTCTGACGCTGCATCAGCCTTTCACCCGAGGGGTCACCTGGACACCCTGTTCACTTGCCACCTCAACAAAGACTGCCTGCCTGGGCTTCTTTGGGGACTTTTCTCCCTCTCCACTTCCCTTTCCTCTGTTCCAGCCCTCTGGGACTCAGGGCTGTAAATTGGTTTCGCTTTAACAGCAGAGGTTTCACATTTTTTCTTAAAGTGCTTTTTTCCTGGAGTTTCCCAGGAGGAGGAGCAGGACGCAGAGGTGGGCCTTGTGAACAGTCTTCTGCTTTCTTTATCCAAACATGGATTTCTCTGGCCTAATCTTCACATCCCTGGCCAGTGCCCAGGGCGGAGGGAGGGAGGACCGAGTTCTTCTCGCGGTCAGGAGAGCACTGGGTGTGAGTTAGAAACTGATCTGGATGAGGGGCCGTGTCTGGCTCGCTGGGTGACCGGGGCAAGTCCACCCCAGACTGAGATTCAGTTTCCCCACTTGGAAAATGAGGGTCTGTGGGCTGGGAGCCCTGCACTGCCTCCCCTGACCCTCTTCATCTTGAGCACCGGCAGCATGGCTCACCTTACTTCTCCCCCCATCAGATGGCCAGGCAGGGACTTGGTCCCCTACTTTATAGCTGTGGAAACAGACTCAGGGATGGTGTGCTCCACCTGGCCAATCAGGCAGGGCGGGCGGGGCTCCAGGCCTCCGGATTCCTGCTGGCTCAGGAGCCTTCATCCTGGCCCGGGCTGTGGTGTGTGTCTCTGGGCAAGTCACTACTCCTCTCTGGGCCTCTGACTCTCCCAGCCACTGAGGGGTTGCCGGGCTTCGGTCACAGGATTCCGGAGGCCTCTGGCTTCTTCTGCCTGAGGCATCCCCTGCAGGATCCGGGCCCCCTACCGGAAAGCACTTTGCAGAGGGGCTATGGAGGGTGTGTCTGGATTCCCAGACTCTCGCCCTCTCTTTCCCTTGGCTCTGCTGTCGCCTGCAGGATGAGCTCATCTTGTGCCCTCCCACTGCGGGAGACCCCAGCCTCTATGCATCCCCCTGCCTGGGTTCCCACAGCCATGCTGCTCTGCTCCCCCTCCCCCATGGAAGCCGAGACAAGGGAATTATTTTTGGAACAGCAGCAGTTACACAACAAATGAATTATTTATCTTTGGGCATGGAGGAGAGGAGGCATTTTGCTGGGCATCTTAATTCTTCTCTGGATTGGAGGGTGGCTGCTTGGGTACGTGGCCATGCGTGTATGGGCCTGTTGTCGTACACAAGACTGTAGGTGTGTGTGTGTGTATACACCTGTCGACGTGAGCATGCCGTGGAGTTCTGGCTCATGTGGGGGCCTGTGGGTCTTTGTGCAGGCAGGTGGACGAGTGTGGACACTAGCGTGATGGGGCGTGTTTGTGTGTGTGTGCGCGCATGTGTGTGTATGCACCTGGCCTGTTAACTCTCCAGTCTCCCTTCTTCGCTCACTGGCTCCAGACTCTATCCCCTCCTCCCTCCCCCTCCCTTGTTTCTTTGGTCTCCCTCCTTCCATGTCCTGCGGCCCCCTCCTCCCCCTCTTGCCACCCACCACCCCCCTTCTTTTATGTAACAGGGACCCAGAGTGCTGCTGGCGCAGGAACCCCCGGGAGGGGGTGGAAAAGGGACTGGGGGCCTGCACTGGAGCATAGTGGGGTTGCTCTGAGCCGTCACACTGATCTCTCACCCCCTCTCGGTGCTGCCTTTCAGGAACCAGGTGACAGATGGGTCTCTTCCTTCCTGTCCCCGTCTCTCGCGCTCCCCCCTCAGAGCTCCAGTCTCCAGCCTCCCGTGGGAATCGTCTGAAGTTCTGAGCCCAGAACCCCAGGGGGAAGAGGAGGAGGAGGAGGGAGAGGAAGGCAAGCCTTGAGAGCCCGGGCACCCTCCCGGCAGGAGAGGAGCACCTCGGGGAAGCAGACTGTGGGGCCTGTAGCCCCCGTGGCCCTGGCCTGGCCGTGGCGCCCGGCTCCTGCGGGTAGCACCCCGGCAGGCCCCCGACAGTTGGCACCGGCTCTGCCTGCCTCGCTTGGGGCCCCCAAGCTGGGGGTCGCCCCCAAGATGGTGGCGGCCCCAGGGAGGACTCTGCTGCCGGCCCCAGCCTCTGGCTGCTAGGCCACCTGCGCCCCGGCCCCCGACCCCGAGCCCGGCCTGCGAGGAGGCCGCGGCCGGAGCCATGCTGCGCCTGGGGCTGTGCGCGGCCGCGCTGCTGTGCGTGTGCCGGCCGGGCGCCGTGCGCGCCGACTGCTGGCTCATCGAGGGCGACAAGGGCTACGTGTGGCTGGCCATCTGCAGCCAGAACCAGCCGCCCTACGAGACCATCCCGCAGCACATCAACAGCACCGTGCACGACCTGCGGCTCAACGAGAACAAGCTCAAGGCCGTGCTCTACTCCTCACTCAACCGCTTCGGGAACCTCACCGACCTCAACCTCACCAAGAACGAGATCTCCTACATCGAGGACGGTGCCTTCCTGGGCCAGTCGAGCCTGCAGGTGCTGCAGCTGGGCTACAACAAGCTTAGCAACCTGACCGAGGGCATGCTGCGCGGCATGGGCCGCCTGCAGTTCCTCTTCGTGCAGCACAACCTCATCGAGGTGGTGACGCCCGCCGCCTTCTCCGAGTGCCCGAGTCTCATCAGCATCGATCTGTCCTCCAACCGCCTCAGCCGCCTCGACGGAGCCACCTTCGCCGGCCTGGCCAGCCTCATGGTGTGCGAGCTGGCCGGCAACCCCTTCAACTGCGAGTGCGACCTCTTCGGCTTCCTGGCCTGGCTCGTGGTCTTCAACAACGTCACCAAGAACTACGACCGCCTGCAGTGCGAGTCTCCGCGCGAGTTCGCCGGCTACCCGCTGCTGGTGCCCCGGCCCTACCACAGCCTCAACGCCATCACCGTGCTGCAGGCCAAGTGCCGCAACGGCTCGCTGCCCGCCCGGCCCGCCAGCCACCCCACGCCCTACTCCACCGACGCCCAGAGGGAGCCCGACGAGAACTCGGGCTTCAGCCCCGACGAGATCCTTTCGGTGGAGCCACCGGCCTCGTCCACCACGGACGCCTCAGCGGGGCCGGCCATCAAGCTGCACCACGTCACCTTCACCTCGGCCACCCTGGTGGTCATCATCCCGCACCCCTACAGCAAGATGTACGTCCTGGTTCAGTACAACAACAGCTACTTCTCCGACGTCATGACGCTCAAGAACAAGAAGGAGATCGTGACGCTGGACAAGCTGCGGGCGCACACCGAGTACACCTTCTGCGTGACCTCGCTGCGCAACAGCCGCCGCTTCAATCACACCTGCCTGACCTTCACCACCAGGGACCCGGTCCCGGGCGACCTGGCGCCCAGCACCTCCACCACCACCCATTACATCATGACCATCCTGGGCTGCCTCTTCGGCATGGTCATCGTGCTGGGAGCCGTCTACTACTGCCTGCGCAAGCGGCGCATGCAGGAGGAGAAGCAGAAGTCGGTCAAGGTCAAGAAGACCATCCTGGAGATGCGCTACGGGGCCGACGTGGATGCCGGCTCCATCGTCCACGCCGCCCAGAAGCTGGGCGAGCCCCCCGTGCTGCCCGTGTCCCGAATGTCCTCCATCCCCTCCATGATCGGGGAGAAGCCCACCACCTCCAAGGGGCTGGAAGCTGGGCTGGACACGCCCAAGGTGGCCACCAAGGGCAACTACATCGAGGTGCGCACGGGCACGGGCGGCGATGGCCTGGCCCGGCCCGAGGATGACCTCCCGGAGCTGGAGAATGGCCAGGGCTCGGCCGCTGAGATCTCCACCATCGCCAAGGAGGTGGACAAGGTCAACCAGATCATTAACAATTGCATCGATGCCCTCAAGTTGGACTCGGCCTCTTTCCTGGGGAGTGGCAGCGGTGGCGGGGACCCTGAGATGGCCTTCGAATGCCAGTCCCTCCCTGCGGCCTCCACCACCTCCTCGACTGCCACCCCTGGGGGGCTGGAGCGGCCCAGCTTCCTCTCACCTCCCTACAAGGAGAGTTCCCATCACCCCCTGCAGCGTCAGCTGAGCGCCGATGCTGCCGTGGCCCGCAAGACCTGCAGCGTCTCCTCCAGCGGCTCCATCAAGAGCGCCAAGGTCTTCAGCCTGGACGTGCCGGACCATCCGGCCGCCGCGGGGCTGGCCAAGGGCGACTCCAAGTACATCGAGAAGGGCAGCCCCCTAAACAGCCCGCTGGACCGGCTCCCGCTGGTGCCGGCGAGCGGCAGCGGGAGCGGCGGCGGCGGCGGTGGCGTCCAGCACCTGGAGGTGAAACCCGCCTACCACTGCAGCGAGCACCGGCACAGCTTCCCGGCCCTGTACTACGAGGAGGGCGCCGACAGCCTGAGCCAGCGTGTGTCCTTCCTCAAGCCGCTGACCCGCACCAAGCGGGACTCCACCTACTCGCAGCTCTCCCCCAGACACTACTACTCAGGTTACTCCTCCAGCCCTGAGTACTCATCCGAGAGCACGCACAAGATCTGGGAGCGCTTCCGGCCCTACAAGAAGCACCACCGGGAGGAGGTGTACATGGCCGCCGGCCACGCCCTGCGCAAGAAGGTCCAGTTCGCCAAGGACGAGGACCTGCACGACATCCTCGATTACTGGAAGGGGGTCTCGGCCCAGCAGAAGCTGTGACCCTCTCCTCCCTGGTGAGGTTGGAGGGGGGAGGGCCAGGGGCACGCGGGGAAGGGCCCGGGCGGCCGGGCGGGGCGCGCTGGGGGCCGAGGCCAAGGAGTGGACGTACACGCACACCCGCACGCACGCACCCACGCACACACCTGACCACCACCTGACTGTGAACCACCACCACCCGACAATACCGGACGGGAAAACAAAGACATGTTCACCTTGAAGTTTACACACTGATACTGAAACCAGTCGTCTCTACTGTGCTACCCAGGGGCTCTGCCGGGGTGTGCGCGCTGGGTGGGGCCGGCGGGCAGGCGAGGAAGCCAAAAGAGGGTGTGGGGTCTGGGGCTCTGGGACTAGGGACAGGTTTGGGGGCAAAGGAGCCTGGGGCGGGGATGGGCCGAAGCCCCCCTGGGGCAGGGAGCGGGTCCCCCAGCTGGGGGACAGGTCACTTGGAGATTTAGTAGAAGTTTCCTTCCTTTGTGGATGGGGAAGCCGAGGCCCAGAGAAAGGAATTGCTAACCCCAGGGTCACATGGCAGGTGAGAGTCAGTCTCCCAACTTCCCGGCCCAGTGCAATCCCCCAGCCCCAGGAGCTCTCCCGGGGCCCTCACCCTCTGTTCACCCACTACCTGTTCTAGAGCTGTGGTCTCCTGGGGCTGTGGGACGTGAGAATCAGGCGGGTGCTTTTCCTTTCTAGAAAGCCCCATGGCCATGTCGCTCCCTTCCCGAGCGTGGAGCTGTGATTCATCACGTACAGGGGCCTCTGCGCCATACACACTCCCCCCCCCCCCCCCGCCGCCAGCACCCAGGAGAGGTGGGAGGTCCTGTGGACAGGGGAGGAGCAGATACGGGGACGGTCCACCGGCCCCCTTCAAGTGTCTTCCAAGTAGCCTGAGAGCTGCCGATGGGGTCTGAGGAGAGCGGCTGAGCCAGCAGCCACCGCGTCTCAGGTGCAGGCCCCACGCCCTGGCCCCCCAGCCTCTCTGGGCCTCCAGGAGCCCTGCTCGTCCCAGAAGGGCAGCAGTAAACTGTGATGCCTGGGAGCAGTGGGGAGGTGGGATCTAACGGGGGCCTTCCTGCCTCTGCCCCCGCATCCTGGCCTCCCACCGGCCCGACCCCCCCTCTCCCTGCCACGGGCCCTCGGGGCAGCATCTCAGCCTGCCCAGAGGAAGGAGGGCTTTCCGGAGCTTTTCCACTCACCCCCTCTTGGCTGCCCATCCCTGCCCCACTCCCCTGGCCTGAGGAGCTCCTATGTTTCCCTGGAAATGGCCACTCCTCCCTTGCTGACCCCCATCCTACATCGAACAAAGCACAAACGGTGAGCACTCCCACCTCACCCCTGCCGGGAAGGAGCAGGCTGGATTCCCGGGGCCCCTCCCGTCCCTGGCCAGCCTCTTTCGCCATGGCAACCCAGAGCCTGGCAGTTGGGACCGTTGGCCTCTTGGGGGTTCTCTCTCTCAGTGTGGGTGGTAGAGGGCGGTGAGAGAGGGCAGGGCCAGAGGGGGTGGCTGCCTTTCTCAAGAGCTAGGGGCTTCCTGGGGTGCTGTAAGGGGGTGGGTCTGGGGGGGTCTTGAACACTGTAAGGGTGCTGAGGGGCTGGAGTCGGCCGTCCCTTCCCGTGTGGATGGGAGGTGGGCCAGTGGGGGGCGGAGAGACTGTAGCTTTGCCCACCTGCCAGTGTGCCCCTTGGTGCCTCACCCACCGCAGGCGGGGATGGAGCCCACTTGGCTCTCCCCACCCTCCTGCCTTTGGCCTGTCACCCAGTTGGGTTTCTTGAGATTTGGGGAATGTGACCGTGGGGTGAGGGTGGTTGCTGGGAGGGAACCAGACCTGCACTGCGGGGGGCATTCTGACAGAGAAGCTATAGTGCTGTTCCCGTAGGATCTGGGGGAGGACCGTGGAGGGCGAGGGGACCTTAGGGCTCAACCCAGCCCCTCTCACACCTACTTGGGGCATGGACCAAGCCCGGGGCTCACTTTGGGGGTGACGTTTGCAAGGAAAGGACTGTTCTCCTGGGGGGTGGAGGGGAGGGGGCCAGCATGGATGTGCAGAGCAGACCTCCCCCGGCTCTCCAAATCCTGCCCCCCAGCCCCTCCTCAGACCGGATTGGCAAAACAGAAAAGCAAGCAGGCCGAGAAGCCAGTGATGTGAGGAAGCAGATTCCCTGTTATATTTGCATGACGATTTTACTGTATTTTTCTGAGCAAACATCTGTCGTGTATGTGCCAGTTTGTCCAGACGCCCTTGCCCCCCTCCCCGCCGCCCCCCCACCCCGTTCCCACAGTCCCTCTGTTGTGATCTGACAAGCAGCTCTTGAAACGTGGGGACGGGCCAGCTCTGCAAAAGACCCAGAACAGGTGCCACCAAAACACAGCCCCCCGCCCCACACCCGCCTCCTATCTTTCCGGATGTTGGGCCCACAAGTGCCGCCTCCTCTCCTCCCACGTGGCCTCGCCCCTTGGCCTCTTCCTTGCTCGGGAAGGACAGCCCGGGGAAGGGGGCGTGGGGGGGCCTCTCCTCTGTCCCACTTGCTCCCATTTTGCAGATGAGGAAGTCGAGGCCCCCGAAGAGGGAGGGGGTCTGGTGATTTGGCTGCCGGGTGGGGAGGGTCAGGCACACAGCTGAGTACAGGAAGCCCAGAGCTTGGGGCTTCATGGGTGGCCCTACGGGGAGGTTTGGGGTCCTGAGGGAGGAACCTATAGGCGGAGGGGTCCCCCCCACCCCGTGACGTTGGCCTGGCCTCACTGGAGACAGAGCCGCCTTCATTCCCCCATCATTCCTGGTTGAAGATGACCTATAAAAACCTCAGACAGGCCAGCTTCAGGGCACTCTAAAGGATAGATCTCCGTCTTAACCACAAGGGTCTTCCACTCCCAGGAGGTGAACCGACATTCACAGCCCAGGTCGTACAGATCTTTGAGGAAGAAGACGGTCCCCCAGCTGCCCAGGCCAGGCCGTAGCTCTGGGGAGCGGGCCACTGCACTGTAGCTCACCCTGGAGGCCTTCCTGCATCTGTGTCCTGTGTTTTGTTCAGGATAATTTTTCCTCGGGGGGCGGGCAGGGCGAAATAGTCACAAAAGTCAAGTGAACATTTATGTCAAGGAGTCTGGCTGGCCCCGGTCCTGTGTTTGTAATGGAGGTGAGCACGGTGGACCTGGGCCATGGCCTGGGCGGGCCAGGAGGGCAGGTAACCAGGAGAGAAGGGAAGGTAACGGGGAGGAGGAACAAGGGACCTGGTGGAGTGGAGGGGGCGAGCCAGCTGGAGGAGATGTGAGTGCCGCATCCTGGACCTCCTGGGACCTGCCTTGGGTCGTGCCCAGGCTTGCCATCCCTTATCACAGAATCTCTCGAGCCTCCTGGGCGCCTGTTCCTGGGAAGGGGCACCCGTGGGTCCACGCTGTCCTGGAGAGCACAGGTAGGGGCCGCGAACCCTCTGTTGGAGCTAATGGCCTTCCAGAAGTGAAAAGCGGAGGTCTGGCAGGAAGAAAGCTTAGTCTGGGGCGGCCGCCTCCTTGGGGGTCCCAGGCTTGTTTCTCCCCTCTGCAGGAGGGGCCTGTATTGGCCGCCTGAAGGCCCCTCGCCTGTGACCCCTCCTAGGGGACAGAGCAGGAAGACGGTGGTGGCCTGTGTCCAGGCCAGGAAAGGACTGTGTGCGGGGCAGTGGGAGTGGAAAGACCCGCTTGGGGAGAGTAGGTCTGGAGAGCCCTAGAGAGGCAGGGTGAAGAGGCTGGGCCTGGCCGAGGGGCTCTGATGGTTCCCAGCAGGAAGTCGCTCACCTGCCCCCCTCCACGTCCTGGGCATTTAACAGAGGGGGAAACAGAGGCACAGGAAGGGGAAGGAAAGAAAGCTTCTAAGGTCTCGAAACCAGTTAAAGACAGACTGAGGCCAGGAAAGAGGCCCGGGCATGGGAGACAAGAGTGACAGGTCCTGGCTTATAAGGGGCTTACATGCAGTGACGGGACAACCTCAAACTGTTCCCCAGTGATGGGAACTGCACAGAGAATTAAAATAGGGCGACGGAGGGCGAGGGCCTTGGGGAGCCCTCAGGGCAGGGGTGACCGGCAGCCAAGCTCTCTGAACGACAGAGTCTGAGGACTAGACTGCTGGCCACAGGAGGATGAGACGGGAGTGGGAGGGAGTAGGGTAGGAGGAGCTGGGTGTCCCCAAGTACCTCCTCGGGTGCCCCCCACTCCCCTGGCCCTGCCCTGCGAGGACCCCACGGCTTAGCAGCATCCCACCCCATTCCTGAGGGAGCGGGGCTCTGTTTCTGGGGGGGTTGGGTGGTCAAGGCATGGGGAAGCCCTGGGGTGTCCGGCCCCCACGGGGCTTAAGGGGCAGGGCTGAAGCTTGCCCGCCAGGCCAGTGTGAAGGTTGGGGCTCGCCTGACCGCAACGCTGATCTCCTCTCTGCCAAGACTTCTGCTCCACGGCCACCTGTCCATCCTCCCACCTTTAAGTCAGAACCAGTATTTAGACTCCTGTTCTCACGCCTGCTCCAGAGTCCCCCCCGTTAAAGGTCCATCTCTGCTGCCCAGCAGTAGGGAGAGGAAGGGGGGTCGAATGGGGTGGGGGGAGAGGGTCTGGGCGGCCTCTCCTTCCCCTGCCTCTCGCCAAACAAGCACAGGGCTGGGGAGGGCCGAGGGGCCCACTCTTGGTTCCTCCCTCCCCAAGGAGCCGCCAGCCCCCTCGGCCCTGCCCTGCCGCCTGGCACCTGGTTTGGGTCTGCAGAGTTGGGCTTCTGGCCCCGGGCTACGAACCTGTGAACCCTAGCTGTGTGTGGACCCTTCCTCCCTCGGTGGGGCCTGAACTGTCCTTTTCTTCTTTTCGGGGTCGGGGGGGGGAAACTTCATTTATTTTCTCTTCCCTATATCTGCCTCCCCTTCCTCCCGATTTCCTGTTTTAAACTGAATGGCACGAAATTGTTTTCCTCAACTCGGAGATTCCTGTATGGAGAGAATCAATTTCTATATTTGCAATAAATTTCTTATTTAAAACAACAGGGCCAAGGTCTTTGTTGAATGCCGACCCCTCCCTCTGCAAGTTGGAGTCTCACCGCCTCCAGTTTCTGGTGCCTGGTTTCCCTCTCCCTTTCTCACCAGAGCCTCACACTCAGGGTTATGGCAATGCCCGCCCCTGGTCAAGGAAAAAAGAAGTGTGTCTGCCAGACAGGGTGGGCCAGCAGGGAACTGAAGTGTCAGTGTGCCTCTCACCGCCAAGCCTAGCCGGCTGGGGGGCCTCGTGGCCTCTCCCCGCTGGAAACCTGGCAGCCTGTATGCCATGTGCCCCCGCTCCCCTTCCTGGTGTCCTGGCCTCCGTCACTGGATCCAGACCTTAGGGGTGGAGGGGCATTGGGGCATCGCTTAAGTCTCAGCTGATTCCTGGGATTACGCCACCTAGTCAGTATCCGAGGGCCCCAGTTTCTCATACGCCTGCCTCTAACTGCCCTCAGAGGGTTGGGGTGATGCGGGAGGACCCTAAGCAGGTCCCCTGGCCTTGCCGAGGACAACTTCCAGACTGCCTGCCTCTTCCAACCCGTCTGCTGTCCTTTCCTCGCTGCACCCCTGACCTGGGCCCCCTTACCTGCCCGTCCCCCGCCCTCCCCGCGCCACCAGTCTGCTGCCCTTTTCTCCACAGCTGTCAACCACCCCTGCGCCTTCTCAGGGATCAAGAGATGCAACTTGATCCTTCTCAGGGATCAAGAGATGTCTCTCTGGGCAGGCACGGAGCTCGGGCCCTCATCTAGTGACCTCAGGCTGAACTGCCAAACGTTCGCTCGGGCGGG